TGCGCGTGGTTGGCGCGCGTGGCTGACGCGCGTGGTTGGTGCGCGTGGTTGGTGCGTGCGGTTGGCGCGCGGTTGGCGTTGGTGTGTGGTTGGTGTGTGGTTGGTGTGTGGTTGGTGTGTGGTTGGTGCGCGGTTGGTGTGTGGTTGCTTGGTGTGTGGTTGGTGTGTGGTTGGTGTGTGGTTGGTGTGTGGTTGGTGTGTGGTCGGTGCGTGGTTGGTGCGCGGTTGGTGCGTGGTTGGTGTGTGGTTGGTGCGCGGTTGGTGTGCGGTTGGTGTGTGGTTGGTGTGTGGTTGGTGTGTGGTTGGTGTGTGGTTGGTGTGTGGTTGGTGTGTGGTTGGTGCGCGGTTGGTGCGTGGTTGGTGTGTGGTTAGTGTGTGGTTGGTGTGTGGTTGGTGTGTGGTTGGTGTCTGGTTGGTGTGTGGTTGGTGATTGCCTGGGTGCCCCGCCAGCAGGTGGGAGTCATTATCAGGGAAAGCGGACGCATAGCAGCGCCATGCGCCTGCACGAAACTTCCTAACAGAAAAAAACTCCAGTGCCAGACTATCGGGAGCTGACCCCTCCAGGTTGCGTTCCGAAAGGCCTCCATGAGCTGCACCCGGTTCACAGCGGTGTGAACCGTGGACTCACCCAGATCCTCCGGGTCGTGTACGGACAGGACGGAAGTGCTGTTGGCAGTCCCTACGCTGTACCGAGCAACATGAACTGGAGTCGCAAGCTTGCTTTCCACTCTCCAGGGGGGCTCAACCAAGCCAATCTGTAGTCCAAACGCCAAGGCCTTGAGGTCAGCATGCCAATCAGCTCTCGCCGCGGCCAAGGCTGCGCCTATTTGCACCATGTAGTCGGCGTCGGTCTGGTCAGCCACACTGCAGCCTAACAGCACGTGGAGTTGAATTGCGTTACGCCCAAGACAGTGCTGCTCAGAGGGGCGCAAACGCGCACTCGCGGGAGTCAAGCAGCCTTTTGCAAGCGCAACCACAGCCGAGCTGGGCCAGGAAGGGGGAGCGGTTTGCGGCAAGCAGGGCTTCAATCTCAGGAAAAGCAGCTGCTGACCGTCTGAAAACACACGCTCCTTACCCTCGCAAAGGCGACGCCCCTGCGGCAGGGACCCAGCCTCACGCTGCATGTCAGCCTGGCAACTAGCGTCGGCCGCAACTCGGTCGACCAGCCCTCCGCGCAGCAGAAGATCGTGGATCGACACATCAGTTCTTGTTCCCCAGCAAGCAAATGGTCTTGAGGCAGGCCAAGCATAAGAAGGGGACTGGTAAAGAACGCAAGTAAGACTTTGTGCGCGACACACCTTTGCGAGTATGGAGCATTGCAGAGATGAGCAGAGCAGACTGCGAGATTCCCGAGCTGGAACATCCTTCACCGTTGATCACATTCGGGTGCAAAGTTATGATGAGTTGCGAGCAAATGGGATTCACTGTGATGTTCGACGAGTTTCATAATTTTGGCAGCCCGCGGGTACGGGCAATGCCGAGCTTGAAGGACAAGTTATTGTAATATGCGTCCCGGAAAACAGGATTCTCCCAAGCTTCATCCCATTCTGTGGCCAAGGCGTACTGAATTTGTCGCCACCAAGTTTGAACGTCCGCAAGTTGCCTCAGTTCGTCATGCAAGATTTAGCCGACTCGAAATGCTTCAGCAAAGGTCGCAATGCTTCGCAACATCCGGGTCTTCGACCCCAAAACCCTCAATCGAAGTGTTTTCTGGTCGCACCAGAACACCCTTGAGTGCCCGACTCCATGGCAAAGAGTCCATGGCGAAGACAAGACGACCGAAAGGCCAATCCATAGGCAAGCACGCCAGGTCAGCAAGACTGAAGCCTCCTGATGGGTTTCGGGAAGAGGAAAAATGTCCGCTTCTGCCAAGCCCTCCCTCCATCTGGTTGCGGTATGACAGACGAAATCAGCGCATCGTTGCGCAGAGGCAAGGGCGTATGGCCCTACCGGCCGTACCTGGAACGCTCGGAGCCATTCCTGCCCCGGCATGTCGGGGCGCTCAGGCGCCAGGGCCTCGTCCTCGACATCTTGCTCGGGCGCGTGGTCGGCTTCAAGTTCACGAGGGGCAGGCTGGTAAGCGTACAAGGCATGATTGGGTACCGGCCACATGGCTTTGCTTCGGCAGGAGGAGGCCACTCCAGCAGCCGCTGGGTCCTCAACTTGAACCCAAAGCTGTGTTTTGTGTGTGTGTGTGTGTGTGTTTGTGTGTTTTGTGTGTTTTGTGTGTTTCGTGTGTGTTTTGTGTGTGTTGTGTGTGTTTTGTGTGTTTTGTGTGTGTTTTGTGTGTGTTTTGTGTGTCTGTGTTGTGTGTGTGTTGTGTGTGTGTGTTGTGTGTGTGTTGTGTGTGTGTTGTGTGTGTGTGTTTTGTGTGTGTGTTTTGTGTGTCTGTGTGTGGTGTGTGTGGTGTGTGTGTGTTATGTGTGTGTGTTGTGTGTGTTGTGTGTGTTGTGTGTGTTGTGCGTGTTGTGTGTTTTGTGTGTGTTGTGTGTGTTGTGTGTGTTGCGTGTGTTGTGTGTGTTGTGTGTGTGGTGTGTGTGTGTGTTGTGTGTGTGTGTGGTGTGTGTGTGTTGTGTGTGTGTTGTGTGTGTGTTTTGTGTGTGTTTTGTGTGTCTGTGTGTGGTGTGTGTGGTGTGTGTGTTGTGTGTGTGTGTGTTGTGTGTGTTGTGTGTGTGTTGTGTGTGTTGTGTGTGTGTGGTGTGTGGTGTGTGTGTGTGGTGTGTGTGGTGTGTGTGGTGTGTGTGGTGTGTGTGGTGTGTGTGGTGTGTGTGGTGTGTGCAATGTGTGTGGTGTGTGTGTGGTGTGTGTGGTGTGTGTGGTGTGTGTGTGGTGTGTGTGGTGTGTGTGGTGTGTGTGGTGTGTGTGTGTGTGCGTGTTTGTGGTGTGTGTGTGGTGTGTGTGGTGTGTGTGGTGTGTGTGTGTGTGTGGTGTGTGTGTGGTGTGTGTGGTGTGTGTGGTGTGTGTGTGGTGTGTGTGTGTGGTTTGTGTGGTGTGTGTGGTGTGTGTGGTGTGTGTGGTGTGTGTGTGGTTTGTGTGGTGCGTGTGGTGTGTGTGTGTGGTTTGTGGTGTCTGGTGTGTCTGGTGTGTGTGTGTGTGGTGTGTGTGGTGTGTGTGGTGTGTGCGGTGTGTATGGTGTGTGTGGTGTGTGTGGTGTGTGTGGTGTGTGGGGTGTGTGTGGTGTGTGTGTGGTGTGTGTGGTATGTGTGGTGTGTGTGGTGTGTGTGGTGTGTGGTGTGTGTGTGTGTGGTGTGTGTGGTGTGTGTGTGTGTGTGGTGTGTGAGTTGTGTGTGTGTTGCGTGGTGTGTGTTGTGTGTGTGTGTGTGTGTGTGTGTTGGTGTGTGTTGGTGTGTGTTGGTGTGTGTTGGTGTGTGTTGGTGTGTGTTGGTGTGTGTTGGTGTGTGTTGGTGTGTGTTGGTGTGTGTTGGTGTGTGTTGGTGGGTGTTGGTGTGTGTTGGTGTGTGTTGGTGTGTGTGGGTGTGTTGTGGTGTGTGTTGGTGTGTGTGTGTGTGTGTGCGCTTGATGTCTTCTTCTTCTGGTTGACTCTGCGTTTGCTCCTTCCTGCTTCTTTCCTTCTTCTCCCCTTCTCCCTTCCTCCTCTTCTCCCTCCCTTTCTCTTTCTCTCCCTTCCTCCTTTCTGCCTGGGCGTGATGCGCCGCCCTAATTGCGTTTTGCGCTCTTCTCTTTCTTTCTTTTCTTTCTTTCTTTCTTTCTTTCTTTCTTTTCTTTCTTCTCTTTCTTTCTTTTCTTCATTCTTTGCTTTCATTCTTCTCTTTCTCTATTTCTTTGCCTTCTCCACGCAACTTCATGTTCCTCATCTTCGCCCGTTTATGGATGGCCTCTTCCTCCTTTCGTTCTCCAACTTCGCGGTGTTCTTCGTCTACGAGGTCTAGATGTTTCAGGTTGTTGCCCTTGTCGGTGACCCTAAGCCTGGTCCCCCTAGTTTTTTCCCTGTTTCTTGTTTGGGGCTTTGCCCGCGCAAACCCAATTGCTTTGTTTTGGCTTGCTTCGCTCTTTCTGTTGGGCCCTCGCCCCGATGGGGGCATCTGTCGGAGCGTCAGCTCAACCCTGACCCCACCATGCGCCACCATGGAGGCCTAGCGCTGCTTGCGGGATGGTGATCCGCTCGTCACAAATTGCCCTGAATCTCAGGGCCTCCTTACTGTCATGGACTGGCGCAACAGGCAGCTCCATCACAGGCGTGAAGCAGTTGACAATGAAACTCTTTGCCGCCAGGAACGTTCCCATTTCCTTCAAGATGTAGCTCCACTCCTGCTTGTTGCGGGGCTTCGGGCCCAGGCCGAGTAGATGTACTTGAATGTGAACCGGTGGGCATAAACCCCAATGAGGGACGGGAGGTCCCACGTCCTGGTCTGCCTCGACCAGAAGACCCCATCGCGCTTGGCCCAAAACACCCCCCACGATCTTTTGCGGCGGTGGGCGTTCCCCCCGAGATACCTGCTCCTTGATCTCCAGGGCCCCGTAGATGATCGGGTCGATGTGGTCCACCTCATAGACACAAGGGTGCGTCCTGCGCTCAATCGCCAGGATCTCATCCGGAGAGAGCTTGAATTGCTTCTCTGCGTGCGGGGGGATCTCCCCAATGGGCATGCTTCTTCCAGACACCACCGAACATCCGGAGTTCACCCTGGCGCCGCTTGACCGCGCAGAGAAGCCCTCATCAATCTCCGGATCCCGCTTACAAGGGGCCATCGCCACCACCTCCAGCATCTCCGCCAGCAACTCCGCCTCCTTCCATGGATTCTTCGCCGGCCGGAGCTGCTGGATGTAGGGGATGTACTTCTCCTTGATGGCAAACTCGGGAGGGAAGGGTTAGAATACTTTTCTTCAAGAACAGACGGGTTCAGCGAACCCAAGGCAATGCTTGAGCCAAAATGGCCCATGCCATTATGGTCAAGAACTGCACACACACACACAATTCATGTTTCCACATGTTCCAACATTAAACAAACAATGCCAAGGCTTGAAACTCGGGCTCCGACGTAGGCATCGTTCGAGTTCGAAGGCTTCTGGCCTGTCGTCTTGCACGTGAGGCCACCAAACTAAACTGACCAAGGCCGCTAAGCCAACGCCCTGCCTTTGCCGAAGCCCTTGAAGTTGCCAGCGTTGCCAACGTTGCCCACGTTGCCCACGTTGCCTACGTTGCCCACGTTGCCCATGCCCATACCCATGCAACATCCACACGGAGCACTGCAAGGGCCACATCCGCAACCTCCACAGCCCATCCGGCCCTGTCCGAGACCAGGTGCTCCAACTGCTCCAACTGCACCGTGCGCTCCACTCCCTTGCCACTCGTTCACATACCCGTGGCTGCCGCTGGGACTGGCGTGGCTGGCGTGGGTGGCGTGGGTGGCGTGGCTGGCGTGGCTGGCGTGACTGGGTTGGCGTTGGCCTGACTGCTGTGCGATGAGAGCCGCCAACTCATTTTCCTGAAGGAGTGACAGCACGTTCTGAGGCATGCTAGGCATGCTAGGCACGCTAGGCATGCCAGGCATGCCAGACATGTTCATGTTGGCCAGGGGCAGGTTGGCCATCGTGTACGGGGGCTGGAACCTTGCCAAGTTGGCATTGGCTGTAGCCATGGCCAAGGAGAGGTCCAAATCTTCCCACGGAAGGGGCCCAGACGCCGACTCTCGACTCTTGTTCTCGCTCTTCTCGCTCTTCTCGCTCTTCTCGCTTTTCTCATTCCGTGGGTCCCGAGGATCTCGGGGGTCCCGCGGCTCCCGAGGCTCCCTCGGGTCCCTCGGCTCTCGGGGCTCCCGGGGCTCGCGGGGCTCCCGGTGCCGCTTCTTCTCCTTCTCCAAAAACGAAGGCACAGGCCTCGGACCAAATCGACTTCGAAACTTTCGAGAGCCGGAGACGACGCCTTTCGAGAACACGAAAGATGGCTGCAGATCTGAGATGGACGCATGGCTTGTGGCACAGTTGGCTGCCTCTCCTGCGCTTGGCAGTCCGACACCTCAAGCTCCACCTGTTCAATCCTTTTGATTGATATGACCTCTCGGACGTGATTTCGGAGCCATTGGAACCCTTGGCATCCCCCGCCTCTGTCAGACCTGGCGGGGCCAGAACCTCGCAACAGAACTTCAAAGGAAGAAGGCAAAAGATGGCAAAAGGCATCGAGCCTTCTTTTGCCGTCGCTCATCCCGATGTATCGCATACCTCAGGCCGCACAGATTCCACGAGTCACGTCCGTGTGCGCATACCGATCTGTGCTCGCTGCTTTAGCACCAGCAAGGCGTGATCCGGGAACCACGGCAAAAGAGCCAGCTGCTCCTGATTGGCGATTAACACACACATAAACCGTAGAGCTACACAAAAAAAGAAAGGAAAACACGCAGACACGAAAACTCGGGAAGGCATTCCGAATCTCCTTGGCGACAAGGCCTGTCCGCAACCCGCCATTCAGCCACTTCATCTCCTGGCTTCTCACTTTTTCTTCAACGAGATGCTCACAGGGGAAGAAAGGCAATGTGGCAAGTTGCTTTGCTGCCAGGCCGCACTAACGGTTTTCATGTCCAAACCTTCCTGGGTGTCCGTTCGCATGTCCAAAAAGACCCACCTCAGAGTCGGGAATTCCTTTTTAATGTGTTTTCGTGCAGGCAGTGCGAGCGGTATAAGGCAAGAGGCATCTTTTGCTTCTGTTCGCTTCCTTCGGTCTCCGAGTTTTCTTTCTCTGCCTTCCTCAGACTGCGTGAACACGTTGCTCAAACACATGATTTCGGTAAAGCCATGGCAACCGAGTTGAGTCTTTGGCTGATGGGCTCGGCTGAAAAGCCCGTATTACCGTATGACCGGTTGCGCTATGAGGCGAGCTGCACATGCCCAGTGAGATACCAAGTGCTCAATCAGTCCTCTGGATCTTGGGTTGGCCGGAGCTCATTCTGGCTCTCGCCTCTTGCTGCCCAAGCTCCGCTTTTGATCGCTGTTCTCTGTCTCAGACCGTTCCTTTGCATCACTTGAGGGCTTCCTGCACCACGAGGGAAATGCCAGGAGCAAAAGCAAGCAGAATACATGCAGCATGCATGCATGAAGGGCCTCCAGCTATGCAGGATGTCAATGTGATTGAGAACCACCTGGCCGCATGGACACAAACCCGTGTCTGGGTCTGACACTTCCAGCATTCAGCACAAGTGCGGGGTCCCGTGACGATTCAACATGCAAGTTGCACTTCTGCTAAGCAGTCCGTAGCATTTGCAAAAGCCGCTTCTCTCTCCCTATGATCTTCACCCCTCTCTCTCTCTCTCTCTCTCATTCTCGCGCATCAAAGGTATGCTCCTCGCAGCACCCCAAGAAAAAGGGAAAACAAAATCACAAGAGAAACAGCAAGCGGGTTTGCTATCCGAGGCAAGGATTCACATGAATTTCTCCTGATGTACAAAGCGTCCGGTATTGAGCTGGAGGGAAAATGATGAAAATCATAATTTCAAAAAAAAGATTCCAGAACTCAAATTTCGTGACTTTCTAACACTGAGATTCCCAACTCCCTGCTTTATCTCCCGATTCAATCAGAAGCTTGCAGGCTTCAAAACCCCTCGTACGCTTACAACAAAGCTGTTTAAAAAAGAAATGTCTGACAGCAGCTGAAGCTAGCTGTCGGTTCGCCATAAGTAATCAACTCGATTGCCAAATCTGACCTCCTAGATTGGAAGCAGACTGCCAAGACAAGGACAGTCGTGACATTTCCAGGCTTTGCAGTGTTCCAGGTGAAAGGGACGTCGAGCTGTACGAAAACTCAGGGTATTTCAGCATTGATGTGAAACATTTGGCAAAAACTGAGATCAATCTCTCTCAGGAAGGATGCGCATTTCTCGCTACATCATCCGGTGATAAACGTGCGTTCTATTCATTAGCTACTTCTCAAACGGTGGAATTCTATCGTTTGGGTGCGCAAACCAAACTGCAAAGCTTCTTCCTCAGAACAAGTGCAAGCACTTTGGCAGCTCGATCACAGCAAGGCTCGGAATTGTTCCTCTACGTTTTTCGTGTCTTCGCCATATCCTTGAGTCGTGAATTCATAGGTCCTTTGAGCGGAATTCCATTTCCATTTCCTTTCCCTTTCTGCCTTTCTCTTTTCTCGAATGCCTCGCGGACCTCCTCCACCTGCGCCTCGCGCCCGATGGGCACCTCGATCGATTCGAATGGAACTCCGAACTTCCTGTAGGAAGTTCACAGAAACGTGAAAAGTAACGAAAACACGAAGAGCAGAAAGTTCAAAGAAAAGTTCAAAGAAAAGTTCAAAGATCCAAGAAGTCAATTGTTCATAGGAACCTGAATTGGAAGAGTTCGGAGGAGAACGATAAATTTGAAACAGAGGGGGAAGGAACTTGGGAAAGGATCGCTGTGGAACCAAAAGGAGAAGCTCCGATTCTCCGATCAGATTTCACACACGGAACCGAGACGGCACCGACCGTCTTGATTTCACTTCGGTCCGATCGAATTCGATCCGTTCGAAACTCGAGGCCCGAGGCTCGGGCCGTCTCAGTGCTCTCACCTGTCCTTAGCGAGAAAAGCTCAGACCCATGAAGACAAGGAAAGGGAAGGAAGAAGGAAAGGGAAGGAAAGGGAAGGAAAGGGAAGGAAAGGGAAGGAAAGGGCAGGAAAGGGAAGGAAAGGGAAGAATTCAAGGAAACTGTCCTCGTCTCTGGCCAGTGCCACACGATCAAGCTCTTCACCTTGGCTTTCATATTGCTGCACCAACTTGTGACAAAAAGTCGTGCGTGTAGTTTGCATCGCCAATTCGCAAGTTGGCATTCCTTTTCCACTGAGCGCCTTACGTAGGCTGGGTCGGAGCATTCTAAAAAGTCGAAAATGTGCCTAGGTGATGGGATTCCGGAGCCGGGGACAAAATAGGGCCAAACAACTTTCTGTCAAAAACAAATGTCTCCGTGGGAGGCTCGAGGTGTGAGGCGAGCACCTGCAGAGTTTCTGCGGGTTCTCCTTGAGAAGCCTACGCAAAACAAAACAAAAAACGTCGAACGCATGTCTTTCACATTGCATGAACAAAGCGTCTTTAGTTTCTGACTTTCGTCTTTCAGAAAGAGTCTGTCAAGTGTTACCAGTGCGATCGCCAGCGTAAAGTCTTTTCTCCACCCCTTTTCCCCCTCCCCCTGCGGCAAATCTGTTAAATTTATTTTTGTCCACCCCTCTCCATCTCTCCAACTCTCCATCTCTCCATCTCTCCATCTCTCTTGTCCTTCCATTAGCGCTCTCAACTCCCTTCTTTTGCCATCTCTTCCTTGGGCCTGGCAGGGGACTCCTTGCCCAAGCGCGGGTGCAGCGCCATCAGGAAGGCCGTCCTAAGCCAAGTCCGATGGCGTTACATTCCGAGGTACTTTTTCCACTTTACATCCTCATTCCATATGTATTCCATGTGTTTCGTTACTTGAGTCCTGAGCCTGTTTTCCGGAAAGCAAGAGCAAATCTCTTTTCGGCCGAGCCTGCTGGAACTCGGCAGGCTGAGCAGCCGCTCGTAGCCTAAGCGAACGAGAAGCGAGCGTCAAGCTGCAAAACGAAAACATCCGAACGTAAATTGCAACAGCATTCTGTGGCGATTTCAATGCGGAAAACAATGCGAAAAGAAATGCATGCGCAGCGCCCGCAACGCGTGAGCTGCGAGTCGCCCCACGCACCTGGCCTTTTGAGCCCCTTGGGCCGTGGCTTTCCAGCGTTGCGGCTTGTATGTCATGGATGATGACCTCCGCTGGCGCTTACTCAACGCAGTCAGAGAGAATACTCTGCCAGGAGGCTGTCGTGTTGGCATGCCTGCGAAGTGGAGGCAAGCAAAGCACGTCAATGATGCAAGTCTTTCCCACCTCTTCATGAAGGCACTGATGCGCTCCTCGCACATGCCAATCACGCACATCGCGCTTGCGGTTGCATTTGTATTGTCTCACGCCTGTGGGCACGCCGATGGGTCGTGCAACACGGCGATCAGCCGGCCCTTGGGGCCCAAGGTGTCCTCCGAGATTCAAAAAGGATAAGTGCTGAAATGAGTTTCAGCGCGTGAATGCGATGGGCAAAGACGTGAAGCAAGGCAAACACACGACGAAAAACGGTCCGAGATGTGACTCAAAGTTTGCAAGGAGCAGCCCAAGCTGAAGACCACTCCCTTCGGGCCTTTCAGATACGCTCCGTCAGTCGCAAGGCAAAACTCAGGTCTTTCACCGTCTTTCACAGCTTTTCCCTCTTGCTCTCTCACGTCTGTTTGTGCTCGTCAGTCTCTCACGTGTTCCTCTCTTTGTCTGGGGCCACGCGCGGATGGGGAAGTGGATGATGCCTTGGGTGTTCTCTGGTTGTGGCCCCGGCCACACGCAAATGTATACATGGATGTGTGAATATACATATATATATATATATGGTACCCCCGGTTAAACTTGGAGCAACTGCATACCTAGTTGCATTGTGATGAACCAGCGCAGGTGTTTTTCTCTGGGCAATGATGTACTGTCTACTGTAGCTGTACTAAGGCAAGTCTGTACATAGGCTCAAGGCCTTGGGCCCAACTGTACTGCTAGAGAAAGCATGTAGTATTTAACACGCCTCCTCAGGATAATGTTGTATACATTCTCCTGAAATGTTGAAAATGGATGTTGCCACTGCACAAAAGATGCGTACCAAGCTGTGCAACTTCCTTGTGTGTCGTGGTGCCAAAAAGCAGGTGTAAAACAGCTGCTGTTTCAAGCCTCTGTTGTATCCAGCTGTCCGACTGTGCCACTCATGTGCACCGCCAAAAATCGCAGTTGCGTGAACAATGATTCTCTCGCGTTTCTTGGCCTCTTTCCAGACACTGCTGTAACCTCGTCCATGTTGGTTGCTGCAGTAGGTGGCTCAAGCTGACCATGGCGTTGTAGTCCCAAGCCAAACCGATGGTCCATGAAGATGTCGAGGACATTGTGTTGGCAAATCTTGTGCTCTGAAGAGGTATGTCAAAGTTGTGAGCATCAAATGGACTGGCGTTGTAGATCATGTACTCGCAAAATGGCCTCCTCATGTTGGCCTGCAGTCCAGTGTAATCCCCATTCAAACTGTTGTATTCCTCTGCAGTAAAGGCGATGTACAAAACACCGTTTGTACCTGTGGTCTTCTCGGAGTGCCACTCCATGATGTTGCGCGCCTCCTTGCCGTTGACGCAATTGATACTGTGAAATCCCACAGATGTCAGCGATGTAAACAAGTGCGTGCCGTATCGCCTTCGGGCTGATGTAGCAAGCGCTGTCAAGGCCTGCATGTCCATTGGTCCGATGTATCAGGAAGAAGGTACCTCACTGCTGTAAAAAGTAAAAAAGGGTGCAAATCCATGTTTGACATGTACATTGCAGAAAAAGCCTTGAAAGGGAGTTGTAGAACTTCCAGAAAAGATGTACCATGGCTCCGGATATCCTAAACTTTTACTTTCGTTGTAGACAAGGAAAGGAGACCTGTGCTGACTACTGTACTTACTGGTGTGAAGCTGCTGCGATGGCCTCGCAGGCCAACTGTGAACATGTGCTTGTTGAGAGTGTCGCAGCTGAATGTGGCTTGGTTTCTTTGATGTACCTTCTCGCATCGTGATTGACTTAGCTGCGCTGCTGTCTATGTGTATCCCGATGTTGGTGCGTACTCCAAATGCTTCCTTGATGAAGTTGCTGATGTAGAGGCTCTCCTGTGCTGCTGTAGCAATTCTGACTCTGCTGATGAAAGTGCCATTGTTGCTTGTGTTCTGCTTCCATAAGTGCATCGCTGCTCCGAAGAAGTGTGTCACAAATCCTGTTGCGCTCTTTCTTGTTGTCGCGAATGATGCCCAGTTGGCATCTGTGTGTGTGTGTCGATGTTGAGTAAGGTTTGTCCTGTGTCTGTATCTTTGGTTGCAGGTTGCGTCGCAAGTACCTTGCGCCTTTAGGTACCGTATCATGGTGCTGGGTCGCATGTAGTCATTCCTGATTCTTCCAGGATGATGTCAACGTAGTTGTTGTTCAAGCTTATGTTGATGTAGTTGCCTTTGTGTAAAAGGTTCCTTGCTGCTGCATGTAGGAATGCAACACTGACATCTCCTGTACAGACTGACCAGTTGTACACAAGTGCCATTGTGAGGAGTACCCTCAGTGTGCAAAACAGCGGTGCGCTGTGCTTGCAAAGAGTAGGTCATGGTCTGTAACGGGTTCTGTGTAGCCCTTTGCTACTGTTCGTGCTTGTGCTTCGTTGTGTTTTGGTTTAAGAACCCATCTTGATTGAATGACTTGCGTTCTGGTGTCATTGTGTTGCCATCAACGTCTTTCATTTGTTGTACTTCTTTCTTCATGCCTTGCGAAACGAGTTGTGGGTCCAAGCCTTCTGTGTCATGTGTGATCGGCTCTAGTAGGATCCTTGCGCTGTCGATTTCTTCTGTGTCCTCGCTGGATGTTGTCTCCGTTTCTTTGCCATCTCTGGTTGTAAACTTGATGGCATTCATCCTCATTTTGGCTTTTTGGTTGTTCTGTTGTTGTAGGCCGCTCCAGCGCCTGTCTGTCTGCTGTGGTGCGCTGTTGCTTGTCTGTGCTGCCTTCTGCTATTGCGTCATCTCTTTCTCCTGTGTGATGTAGGCGGTGGTGCTGGCAACGCCGGTCCTTTCTGATGTGTTGGTGATGTGGCCATTGGTGATGTTGGCTCTGCTGTCTTCTTCTGCTTTGTGCGCTGATCACTCGGTTGCTTGTTGCTGAATCCTTCTGAGATGTGAGTGCTTTGCTTGTTGCTGGCATTGTAACTGGTGTTTTGAGAGTAGGTGTAGGCAGTGCTGATGCTGGTGTCTTCCATGGACCTGTGTGTACACAGTCCAGTAGTTGCTGATTGTCTTTGCGAGGCATTATCTGCCTTCTGATTGTCCTTGCTCTGACAATCTTGCTGTAGGTCCCAATGAGGCACTCGCCCATAGTTGTATCCTTGCCAAGCCAGATATCCCGTTGTAGAACCTCGGCTCGAGTTTTGGTGTTGGTAGCATGTACTGCACTGTCTCACCAAACTCGCGAAGCGGTGTATGTTGCTCTCAGTTCTATTTGTTGAAGTAGCTTGTGCATCCATTGCTGTGGATTGCCAATCTGTTCATGATGTATGCACTGTGTCGAACTACCCAAGGCATGAGTGGAGGTTCCAGTAAAATGTCTCTGTTGTAGTTCTGCCTGATTTGTGCCTTGAGTGTTCTGATTTGCGCAAAAAGCGCTCGCTCTACTCCACCTTGTGATTGTGAACTGTATGCTCCTGAGTTCCTTGCGGCGATGTTGCCATTCTTGATTGCCAGTGCTGCGATCAGTGCTATCAGGAAGTCTTCCTGATCCGGTTGTAGCATGGAGTGTGATGTTCTTCCACATTCAATGAGGAAGTGCTGTAACTGTGTGATTGCATACTCGAATCCTCGCGTTGGTCAGTTGTGGCCATGATCATCCCTGATTGGGTGTCAACTGCTGTGAAAATTGTTGCTGTCACCAAAGCCCTTGCTGTAGCCGAAGTCAAGCTGTGTGATTGGAAGCTTGCTGGGTTGCTTTCGGTGATTGTTCTGTCTGCCTCTTGCTTGTACGCATGTTGGACACCAACTTCTGTAGGGTAGGTGTGTCCTATTGCGGTGTTAGTTGCTTGGGTGCTTGTACTGCTTTTGCTCTTGTGCCTTGCTGTTGTTCCTCATCCTCTGACTCAAGTTGCGTTGGAATTTCCTGGTGTTCCTCAAAGTTTGCCCAGCCTGTCCAAGGCTTGTCTGATGTCTTTGCTTGCTGTGTTGTCCATTCATCTTCTACCAATCTTGTGTTGCGCTGTCCTCCTGCCGCCGGTTGTACCTTGGTCTGTTTGCAAGGTGTAAGTCACTTAATGTCTGGCCCGTCATGTGTCTGCTCTGGTGTGTAACATACTGTATGTTGTCTTGATGTGTACTCTCTTCCAGTATGGGCCTTCTCTGTGCCAGTAGCCTCCTCCATGATGTACTTCTGCAGGATGCGGTAGTCCTTGTCCAGCTGCACCTTTGGTGGTGTGTGGTGCTGCTGTGTCCTGTGCTGTTGGTGGTGTCATTTTCTCTCTCAGTCGTGTGCGTGGATTGTACTGAATTACTTGTGGTGTAACCTTCTGTTCTGTGCTCTTCGGCTGTGCTGCTGTGTCTCTGGCAATGCTGTGCCTTTCTTGACCCTGCATGCTGTCTCTCCTTTCCACATTTGCTGTTGCGCTTTGTTTGGAGCATGTTATTTGGTACTTGTTCGTTGTCCCATTCTTGGATCTGATTCTTCTGTAATCCTCAAGTTGCTCTGCTGGGACTGGACACTGTGTTCTTGATGGTGTGAAGAGTGTCTTCCTGTATTGTCTGTGTACTCTGACAAGTTCACCTTGTGTGTTGAACTGCCAGTAGTCTCCTGCATAACCTGAGTCTGCGGGACCTTGTGGTGCAAGCGTTGTGGCCGGCGCTATCATGCCAATCTGTCCTTGCTGTGTGCTGTGTATCTGTAGCTTTGTTCCTCTCGGCAGTGTTGTGATTTCTGTTTGTGTAGGAAGAACAGGCCATCTCTGTTCTCCAAATGTGCTGTTGAATCCTTTGGTGCGCTGTACTCTTGGATTGTCATCCAGTGTAAGTTGGAAACCTTGTTCCACCAGCCTTGTAACCGAAAGAATTTGCTGTTTAACCTCACAAACGTAAAATGGTATGACAATCTGTTGTCCACTGTGGTTTGTCACGCAAACCCATCTGCACTCGTGAAGCTTGATGTGTTGGTTGGTCACTGTTCTCAGTTGTGGTCCTGTTCCATGCTCGAGGTGCTGTAGTGGAAATTGTGCTGCAAACCATGGTGGGCATACAGGTGTAGCCACCGCTGTCAATCATGAGACTGACCCACTCATTATCTTCTGTGAATTGTTGCGCTGTGCCAATCATGGCAATTGTTACTTCTTGTAATCCTGAGATGGTATTGCTGATGAATCTGCTGGTTGTGGCAGCGCTAGTTGTTGCATCTGTGTCTGATCCTGATGGTACCAGTTGCTGCCATAGTGTGCCTGACTGCACCAGTCATCTGTCTGGTCATTGGTGTCGAAGTTGCCGGTGTCGCAGTTGCAGATCCCCGCTCTACATTGTTTGGCCATGTGTCCTGGTTGTCCGCATCTGTAGCAATCATTTTTTGCTTGCTTTCCCGTTGCTCCTTTTCCTCCTGGTTGATTGTTGTAGTATCCCTTGCCTTTTCCTTTGTTGCTGCTTCCTTTGCCTTTGCCATATCCTTGTTGTCCTTGTATCCTTTGCCTTTTCCTTTGTTGCTGTATCCTTTTCCTTTGCCATATCCTTGTTGTCCTGGTGTCCTTTGCCTTTTCCTTTGTTGCTGTATCCTCTAATTGAAAGGATTTCCTTGTCCAACCGGTTGTTGATTGCATTTGCCTTTTCATCCTTTGTAGCTGTTGTAGCTGTAGTTGTTCTCGTAGCCATAGCCTTTGCCTTTGTTGTACTTTCCTTTGCCCTTGCGCTTGCCGTTGTTTCCTTTGCCGTTGTTTCCTTTGCCGTTGTTGTACCACGTTGCTCCTATGTCCATTGGCGCCGGTCCTCGGTTGTTGCTGTTGCCTGATGTGATTGCTTGTAGCCTGTTGGATGATGATGCTGCTCTGTAGTATCCTGCTTGTAACTGTAGGTGTTGCTGTTGTGGTCCTTGTGTGTCATTGAGCAGTATTGCGATCTTGACTGCATCTGGTAGTAGTGTGTGGTTGTCTTGTTCATACTTGGCGAGTTGAAACTCCCATGTTGTAAAGCTCTCTTCGAACTTCTGTTCATCGAGCTGTGGTTTGTTAGGTACCCAATGCTTTGTGTGCCAAGTGGTATGGAGTATCTGAGGTGTAGTGGCCGCCATGTCTCGAAGCTGTTTTGTCTGCAAATTTTAGATGCTGGTCCACCGCATGTGTTCACCAAGATGTAGTGTAAGTTGTTGCTCAGTTGTACGAATTGCTCTGCTACTGCTTGTGAAGGTGCTGCTGTGTCAAGTTGGCCGTTTGTAGCTAGCAGTTGCGATTCCTCTGGCTGTCTCAGCAGTCTGTTGTACGAAGGGTCTTGTAGCCCATGGTATGCTGTCATCTTGCACTTCCATTCTTCGAATGTGTTGCATTCTCCTGTGAATCTTGGTGGTGCTACCTTGTACTTGTGAACTGCTTCCAGCTGATGCTGTTGCTCTTGTTGTCGTTGTTGGGCCGCCGCTCCTTGTGTGTTGTATGGAAAGGTCGCCAGATCTTTCCAGGTGCGCAACTGTTTTCACTGCTGTATGCCTGAACCTGTGGGCGCGTGTTGGAGATCACCCTGGGTAATGTGTGTGGATCGTGTACCAGGGATCACTTCACCGCTACCATGTTAAACTTGGAGCAACTGTGTACCTAATTTTACCTTGCGATGAACCTGTGTGCGAAGTGAAGCGCAGTTGTTTTCCTCTGGTCAATGATGTACTGTCTACTGTAGCTCTACTAAGGCAGGTCTGTACATAGGCTCAAGGCCTTGGGATGCGGATGTAGCCCAACTGTACTGCTAGAGAAAGCATGTAGTATTTAACACCTTTCATGGACCCTGGCTTCGTGCGTTTGACCTGTATTTTCCAGCGTTTGATTCTTCTTTTTGCTTCTTGGATTTGTGTCAAAATTGGGGGGGGGGCATACATGTATATGATACGCATGCATGCATGCAGATGTGATAAAGCAATGACATCAGCATCCGCAATCTGAAAGAGATTGAATGCATCCAAGAATGCAAGAACAACTCAGACATTTCTAAAAAAACAATTCTGGGATTCAAGATTCAAGGTTCAAGAATGTGAGAAAATATTTTATGGGAATCTTGAATCTTGAGTCTTGAACCCCAGAAATTTCAAAAGTTTTTAAAATCTATGGATTCAAAGCTCAAGATTCAAGAATCTGAGAAAGTATTTTCTGGGAATCTTGAGTCTTGAATCTTGAATCCCATAATTTTTCAAAAGTTTTGAAAATTCCAGTGTTGTCCCAATACTCTCGGTGCGCAATAAGATTCTCGGAAAGGTTCTCCGTGAAATATTTCAATCCAGTGGTAAAGTATGTTCGAGGTGATAGAACAACTTGAACATTTTTAGGGGTTGACCAGGATGGATGATTCTCAGGAAAGGGGTGGTTTGTGGGCTCCTCAATATTGAATCCCAGATCCAGTGGTCAAGCACTTTCAAGCGTTACAAGAACTTGAATGTTATTTGGGTTTGGCCAGGATTGACAATCTCAGGAAACTTTTCTGTGTAATCTTCGAACTTGAACCTTCCATCCGACAGCAGCATTTTTCAAGTGCTTACTTTCAAGTATAGATATACTATGTATGTACGTTCACACACCGTCCCCCACCCTCTTCGTCTTAGATTACATTGAACACTTGGATTATATTATTGAAAAAACTTCCATCTAACTTCTTATGTTATAGATTAGTTGGAGCTTAGCCGAAAAATACAGATATATATATATATACATATACATTTTCATGTAGCTGCTACTTGGAAAGAATTTGCTTTTCAAGCTGCAATCAAACATAAACACAATCTAGAAAACTGCATCCGTACCAAACTATAATCAAAAACCCAATTCTAGTTGAAGCAACATCTTATTTGGAAAGGGCATCATACTGGGACATTGTGGAGGACTCCAAATTATCACGCATTGGGGACCCACAAGTGAAATTTCGAGAATGTAAGAATGCAATTCTAGGTTCCTTCCGGCCCCTTCTTGCCGCCTTCTAATTCCTTCCGGTTCCTCCGGTTCCTTCTTGCCGCCTTCTGGCCCTCCGTTTCCGGTTCTTCCGCTAGTCTCCGCTTGGATCCAATTTTCCGGTCCGGCTCTCCCGGCTCTCCCGCTTCGTCTCTCCAACTCGCTCCGCGACTGGGTCCCGGCGTTTCCCGGCGTTTTCGCGACGGAAATCAACGGGCTCTCGGGCTGTCGCCTTTGGCTTCTTCCTTCGCTTCCTTTTTGTGCATTCTCTTTCTCGCTTTCTCGTTTTCTCTTCTTTTCAATTTTTCCCCTTCTCCTCTCCTTCCCTTCCTTGTCTTCCTCTTTCTTCCTTCTCTCGTCTTCTCTCTCGTCTTCTCTCTCGTCTTTCCTCGTCTTTCCTCGTGTTCTCCCTTGCTCCGAAGGGGCGGTTGTGGATGGCCGCGGCCAGCGCGCAGCTCTCGGGGTCCCAGGGCCGGAAGGTGATGTGCCGGTCCTGAAAAGCGAAAAGACGAAGGAGACGAAGGAGACGAAGGAGACGAAGGAGACGAAGGAGAAGGAAAAAGGGAAAGAGATAGAAGAGATAGAGATAGAGAAAGAGAGGAGAGAGAAGGAGAGAAGAGGCAGAAACGAAAAAGAGGAGAATGACAAAGGGAAGAAACACGAGAACGAAACAGAAAAGGGAAGGGAGAAGGGAAAAGGGGGGGACGTATAAGAAAAAGACACGTACCATTGAATAGTGAGGGAAACGTAACACGTAAATGAAAGTTGGGTACACACGGGCAGAAAGAAGAAGAAAAACCAGAAAAGGGAGAGAAGGGAGAGAAGGGAGAGAAGGGAGAGAAGGGAGAGAAGGGAGAGAAGGGAGAACACGTGAGAAAGACGTAACAAACGTAGCACAAGGGAAAGAGGAGGCAAGAAAAAGGAAAAGGACATGGCAAGACGATGCAAAAGAACGGAAAGGAGCGAAAGGAGCAAAAGGAGCAAAGGACGAGGAAAACAAAACGAGGACAAGAGAAAAGGAAGAAAAAGACGAGAATACAAAACAGCAAAAGAGAGACAAGAGAAAACGAGAAAGGAACCAAAGAAGAAAGAGAAAGGAAGAAGAAAAGAGCAGGAAAAGAAAGAACACTTTAACAAAGAAAACACAAAGAAGGAAGTAAGTGGAACAAAAAGGAGAAGGGGAAGAAGGAAGGGGAAGAAGGGGAAGAAGGGGAAGAAGGGGAAGAAGGGGAAGAAGGGGAAGAAGGGGAAGAAGGGGAAGAAGGGGAAGAAGGGGAAGAAGGGGAAGAAGGGGAAGAAGGGGAAGAAGGGGAAGAAGGGGAAGAAGGGGAATGGAAAAAAGGAAAGAGCGAGAAGAAAAGACTAAAAGAAAGGGACCAAGTTCTAAAAGAAACACCTTACATCCAATTTGGTCACACCGAACGAAAGGAAATCGAGGGACCATAAACGAAATAGAGCAAAAAAGACGACCTGCAAACCAAGAACCGAGAATACAAAGACCAGAGCTAGCAAGAAAGAAAACAAACCAAGACGAAAGCAAAAATACAAAAACAAGGAGCTAGAAAAGACAGAAGAGAGACAACAATTAAGGGAGCTTAAGGGAAAGGAGATGCCGACAACAGAAGAGGAGCAAGATGAAAAGCAGGAAAGATCAGAAAATCGATGCGGAACAAAAAGAAAAATGAAAAGGAGGAGATCAAACAAAACGCAAGACCGACACGGCGGGCCACAGCGGACCTGGCCCGCAACAAAAATCAAAATCACAATCTGGAAGCAAAGATGAGTTTAATGAAGGAGAAGGAAGTTGAACCAAACGATGATCGAAAACAGAAAACTGAACAAACAGTGACAAAACAAAAAGGACGGCGTTAGAAACGAAAAGATTGCAAGCCGTGCAATTATTCTGCTCAGCGCAAATGTTTCCAAACTTGAAAGAACATGAGAACCTGCAAGATGCGAGTTCGATGTCGGGAAGCTTGAGACGGCATGCTGAAGGCCAGCCTTGAAAGGGCGCTGGAGACAAGTTGCGAGAACCAAAACCAGACAATGTGACATTGGTGCGGTTTGAACCTGTGGCCAGACATATGTTACGAAATGAACTGCAAAGACTGAAATATGCGGAAGGAGTGTGGAAGGAACTACAAAAGCCGCGCAAACTTCACCTGGTAGGAGACGGAGATGGGGCTGTACTTGGTGCCGCTTTTGCTCCTCCTCGGTCATGTGCTTCTCTCTCTCAAGATGTCGTTTTGATTTTTGGTTTCTTTCAGCAAAGGCTCGTGGTGAAGGAAGACCCGCGCCAGGCCGAAGACGCCTCCTCCCCTTCGCCCGCCCAGTCCTTGACTCGCTTGCAACTCGCAAGGTGCGTTAGGCGCGCGTGAAAACGCGCCTCGTTCTGCGGCTCACCTTCCCGCAGGGTGCAAATCACCTCTGCCATCGCGGACCTGCGTTGCAACGGAAGGAATAGTTGCAAATTCTTGGAGAAAAAAAAGACTGGCCCACATCGCCGTTGGGACGCTTCAAGAAACTTCGGGCTCCAGACTGTCCGAAGGCTTCGGGTTTCTCCCTGTCCTGGCGGACTGAAGTCCGGGAACTAAACCGGCAGTCAGAATGACGGAAATCGGAAACAGGTACAACTCAAAGGATGGTTGTCACAAGGCTTTCCAAGGTGCCGTGATGAAGGCAGCTCTGCTCAAACTTGACGCGTCACTGCATCGCAATATGATTCATATGATCGATTGAAGTAACTCTCCAAAGCCTTCCCCACCATGCATACGTAGATGCCTTTGATGTGGTGCCGGGTTATGTCCTTAGCAGCATGTTCTCTCCCGCAACGAACTGTTGAGTCACACAAATCGTCCCCTAAGCCCGCTCCAGAATGTCTTCACCTCCCTCCGAGTCGCAATGCCATTTCGCAGGATCTGGATCATCGTGGCCTAACTTGAGGAAAATGTTCAAGCGCGCATCTCATCTGGCACTATCTTGTTTTACATGCATTTGCACCCCTTCACCCGCGCCTTGCCAATGCACACGAAAAGAACAAGATGGATTGCAAAAGAGGCGACTGTAAGTTTGCTGAATGGTTGGTAGCTGGTCAACTTGTTTTCTCCACTCAGCATTTCTCAACTCAGCGCCGTCTGAGCCAAAAATTGGTCCGCCCGATGAATCGGCCAAGCTCCACGGAGACAACGACAACAACGACAACATCAACAGGAACAGCACAAGCAGCAACAGCAGAACAGCACCAATGGCAGCAAAGCTGCGACAGCACCAAAAGCACCAACATCGCCAGCAGCACCAACAGCAACCGCAACAGCAACAGCACCAGCACCAGCACCCAGCCCGCACCGACACCACCACCACCACCACCACCAGCAACACCGCCACCACCACCACCACCAACAACAACAACAGCAACAGTCAAAACACGTGTGGTCGTGTGGTCAACACCTGAGTCTTGGTGTTGCTGTGGAAGCTCACCTTCAACAACCTTAAAAACACGGGTAACACTAGTTTCGTGTCGTTGACGTTCATTTTCCCAGGGCCGCGAGGAACGCCGTACCTTGTTGTTGTTGTTCTTGCTGCTGCTGTTGTTGTTGCTGTTGTTGTTGCTGTTGCTGTTGCTGTTGCTCTTGCATAGACCCCAAATACCATACCACGGCGACGAACGATGACGCAGCATGATGGCTCCACCTGCAACATGATGCTAATCATGAGGATGCTGACAGTATCATGGTGATACCACAACCACGCAGAATTGTGTGTTAGATAAGCGCGCGGACAACGTGATGATGAGTTCAGCAGCATAATGGTGAAGTTGCCAGAACTATGCTGACATACCAGCCACGAACATGCGCTTTAGCCGCGCGGACAACGCGACCACCGTCATTGCCTGCACACGACGCGGCGCAGCCCTGGTCAACAAGCTTGCCGTGGAAGTCCTTTTTGAGCAGCCGAGCGGCCTAGGAGTCATCAGCGCTGACTGGGAGAGCAACCCGCTACGAGGACGACGGAAAGCTGCAGCAACAGCAGTACGAAGGTTTGCGAGTTCGTCTGACAAAGAACATGGACAAGGGCACTGACTACGTCAACGGCACGGCGGCGGTCGTCCAGAGCTTCGATGCGCGCAAGCAGGCCGCAGTCGTCAAGACGGAGACAGAGCAGACGCTCTGCATCCTTATTACCCGCTGCGGCCTGCCTACTCCGACACGGTCCACAAATTTGAAGGGGCGGAGCTTCTGGCCCGATCGCCCTGGGTCCCGCGGTTGGCTACGTTGCCTTGAGCCGGGTCCGAAAGGACGCGGGCTACCTTCTGGGCGGAAACATTGGCGAGGAGCACTTCGTCCCGGCCATGTAGTCAAGTTTCACAAGTGTACGAACCATCTTGCAACATCGTAATAAATTTCAGCATCATTGTCACGATGTTGACAAACCATGGTCCTACATGACCCGCGAACCATGGAGCGGCATCGGAATGATTCCAGCAACATCATGCTATGGCTGGCGCCATCATGATACGGCCATGGAACATTACAGCGACGCTCTAATGGGTTCAACAACCTCATTATACGATCAGCATCACGATGATACCAGAACCCCCCCTCCAGCAGCCTGCCCAAGATGCGCCCTCAAAGTACACAGAAACAGCACCTGCACCAGCCCCCCAAACTGACAAGCACCCGACCGTCAATCTCGCACAGCACCTGCGCCAGCACTCTAGACTGCATGCCACCTAGCACCCGCTGTCTATCTCACAACACTGCACCCGCAGCCCAAAACTGCGCCCACCCCTCAAAAAAGGTGCCCACACCGTCAACAACAGCTACCCCAAACAGCACCCTAAAGCGGCACCTGCACCAGCACCCCAAACTGCATGTGTTGGGTGTAGAAAAGACCTGTTACGGCGGGCGCGCGTATTTGGCTAACATGTTTGCACTGCTGCGGGGGAGTCACTATTTTGCTGTGAGGGAACCACTGTGGCGGGCGCGCTTACCACTTGGCTAACATGTTTGCACTGCTGCAGGGGAATCCCACCACAACCGCAACAACAACCTGAAAATTTCCAAGGTCACACCAAACACAAACCAAAACATGTGCAGCGGTGCATCACCTTTTCTCTGGCGCAAGTCTCGAGCCTTGAGCTACCAAAGTGGCAGGTGCATCATGACAATTAAGGCTGAATGTAGACAACACAAAAGTCTGTACATGCAAGCGGCAGATGTTAAATCTGCAAATGGTGTATGCGTACAAAGACAGCACAAAAAGCGGGACCTCACAGGAAAATGTATTAGCATCAAAGTGATGACGCAGGCACCATTGAAGATCGCCTTGACAAGTCACTCCTGTTTGCGTCTCACGCGCAATCCTTCTAGTTGAAGTCTTCACATGCAAGACTTAAATGACAACCCGCGCACAAAGTCCCATGATTGCGCGATCTGACCAAAGTAGTAGATCAGGAACCCACCCGTTGAGCTTGGGGAAAGCAACCACCTTGAGGGAAGTGGGTTCCGCCAGCCCTGAAAGTTGAGATTCAAACTTGGAACCTTGACAAGTAGTCGACATAGCGTCGGTTCCAAAAGTTGACGTCTGCAGGTCAAAACCAAGAAATTGCCGAACACGGGTAGGTCACGGCGCGGTAAAGCAGGGTGACCAATAACAAGCTTCCGGCGCAAACCAAAGTCCAGGATGGGGGATGCTAAGAAACCCCGTTTGGGGGAAAGGTGTACTTCATGTTCAGCCGCCATGCGCCTTCCACGCCGCCTCTTTGGCTCTGGAAATAGGAAAAAAGTGCGGTAGCCATTGTGAGCCGTGGGCATATATTACCAAACGCATACCCTGCCTTACAACCTCTTCGCTTCAGCTTGCTGCGTGTGACTCTTGGCTACTGGATCTTACAGTTCAGGATCAACGAGTAGTAGGTTCATCCTAGGGTCAGGAAAGAAACTCACAAAGAAACAAACAATGGAACAGGTCATACACCACACCTCATTCGCAAAGGAAAATGAAATACACCCACAGTGTAACAGTGGCGGTAATCGTCAGAGACTGAACATATGCAGAGAACACAATATCACCGATGAAGTCATGTCAGCGACTGGTCGCACGCAAAAGAGACAACATATTGCCATCCATACACATACCATCTCCCATCTGGCTCTCCAGTACGATGGCAGCGTCGGTCGGCTTCTGTACCATTGTGCAAAGCCGGCTGACAGAACTGAAATCATCTCATACAATACAATAGAAGGATGAGGAAGTTGTACGACCGATAGCCAAATGCACATCAAAAAATTGGAAACAGCTCGTCAGGAATGAGTACACATTTGGCAGCAAGCCTTGTATGCGTCAGCGATCCCATGGGAGAGCATACCAATGGACAATTAAGAAATGATGGCATCAGGCGTAATCATGTACTCCCCCACGTAGAATTCGCAGCGAACACAAGCAAGCCTGCTGGCTCTCCACTTGAACTTCTCCAGCTGTGAACACGGGCTTTCACAGGAGTTGGACAACTTGGAGACATGCCTGGCAAGCAAATTAATCTTTTGTGGAATGGGCCGACTTCGTCAAACAGATGATTGAACCCAGATCCATCTTCAAAGTCAAGTAGTCGCAATTGAAAGCAAGCGCAGTACATCGGCAGGCGATGTCGCTCATCGGTGTTGCACTCTGCGTCGCCAGATCTGTTCCTGCTCCACCTCCAGCATGTTGCAGGCGGCCCAAATCCGGCATAAGCAGTATAGCCCTCTCATCTTCAAATAGCGACGCAATACTTCGTCATCTTTCTCATCTTGGTTCTGAAACGTTATTCTCAGAATGCTCGGGGCTGTCGCAGCCTGATCAATGGTTGGAGGGATTGGACTATTGACATCATCGATGTCAGCGAGGTTCCAGTCGTCGCGCGTCGTGTGGGATACCGCCTTTATGGCGGGAAAGCTACCGCGTGGGCTACGCCAGAGTACCTCCTTGAGCGGCGGTGTCTTTGGCGATGTCGCGGCCTTTTGTGGTCCGCTGGATACCCAAGGACCACAGAATGTTGCTCGTGACTTGGTATCTTTTTGGGTCTCAACTCTTGACACAAGCTGTGTCAAAAAGGACGTATTCACACCTGCTTTGCCCCTTCAAGGACACGGCTTGCTGCATCCGCACATCCTGGTGATTCTGCTTGGCCACGACTTGGGGTCTCGCGTTGGCCTTGCGTCAAGCAGAGCTGGTGACAGAGCTGCAGCGGTGGAGCAGGCGCGCGCTCGCGGCCGCACAGCGCGCGCAGCTCGACCTTTGCCATGGGCGCTGCACCCGAGGCCTTGCCTCTGTTGGAATCTCAGCGCTTGCAAGCCGGGCAGCGCTGCAGATTGGCGCAACCTGTGGAGCCTGATGGGCATGAAGTCTTGGCAGAAGAGCGGGCTCTGCAAGGCCAAGATGGTGCCCTGACACTGACCGGGTGCTACGCATCTCTTCGCCCAAAATGTCAAAGGAGGAGCGAGGCGTCTAACTTTCCAGCCTTGGGGTCGAAGCGGGCGTTCTGCAGCGACTACAAAAGACTGGTCATTCACAACCGCTTTCATAAATGCACACAGGCTTGCTTCAAGAGGACGCTGGCCAGCGCTGACAGCCAGTTTTTTTCCGAGTGTTTTTCCGAGTTGTGACACAGCTGCAGTCGCTAGCAGCCATGTTTCTTCGCGTTGTTAGACAATGTGCTGTGTGATGGCAGTGTGTTCAGGCAATTAGGCTGTACCACCATTTGCGCTTGCTCAGGAGACGCTGGGGTGGGGAAACGAAGACGCGGTGCTGGAAAGGCTGGCCACGCATTCGGGCTGCTACGAAACTGTTTCTTTCCCAATTCGTGCCGTGTGCAAACATGCGCTGCCGCGAAGTTGCTTTACAGGCAGCGTCATTGCGAGTGCGGGCGGGTCCATTGGACGCACCTGAGGAGAGTCGGGCGAAGAAGGGGGACAGTCTTACGGCATCTGCAAAGCTTCAAGTTGTGCAGTTCAACACGAAAGAGGACTACCTACATCGCGGCCGATATCCTGATATCCTTTACCGCGATGCATGTCATGGTGATG